AGATGCATTATGTAAAGGTACAATTCCTAATGAGAAATGTAATTGTGTTGTATACCTACAATGTACCAATAAAAGAATTTAATTTAAAAAAAAAAGGCAGTTCTTTAATTAAAGAACAGTAACAGTTATAAAAAAAAAACCTGCTAAAAACAGTCCTATATGAACAATATTAGATTAAGTTATAAACCATATCCTAATACTCATTGCAATGCAACATAGTTGCCTAAACTCAGGAAAAATAATTTTTTAAAGAACAAAAGACTGTCCCTTGGAAGCAATCTATAATGTAACAAAGTTTCAAAAATAAAGTCTACTAAGGAGATTAATCATATTAGATATATTTAGGTACTCTAAAGAAACTCATAGATATAAATGCTCAAGTAAGGTAATGCAACTTATCAATTCTACTTTATGTAATTTAATAATCCATTTATCAAACATCTAAAACAAAATTAGAAATAGATTAAACAGAATATCATGAAATCTACAATTATTCATAAAGCTGTATTTTATACTATTCTTTACTCTGGGTGAAGTACTAGTATATCACTTTAAACAGCAAAGCACTCACTATTCCGAAACATCAAAAATAAAGAATACCGTAGAGTGGCTTCAGCAAATATCTGACGTAGCTTTGCTTCAGTCTCACCATAGAATCTATAACAAATAAAAAATATTAAGTACTTTTTCTTACTATTTTTAATTTCACCTATAAAAGCTAATTTGAATTTCAAATATTTCTAGAATACTTAATATTACTTTCTAAAATTATTTTCCAAACAATTTTATACATATTAGCACATTACAAATATTCCAAGGTATGAAATATCTACAATATCATGCAGCCAGTTTAAAAAACCACACTTGAGAAGTACATTTAATATATATTGTTTACTTTATTAAGTCATGCACCTACTTGCTTATAATTTCAGGACCATTAATTACAGAAACATAGGCTCCAACTTCATTGGCAATGGCCTTGGCAATCATTGTCTTTCCAGTACCCGGAGGGCCATAGAGTAACACTCCTCTAGGAGCTGGAATTCCTAAAAGAAAAAACAAAGAACTCTGAATTCAGTATAAAGAACATTGAATTCAGTATTACTAGGTTTCTTATAAATGTTGTCATACAACTTCAAACATGAGCTATAAATGTATATTTATCTTGCATCACAAAATTGAAAGTCAGAAAAAAGTACTACCCCAAACACCGATCTCCAACAGTAACATTTTCTTGCTTTGTACTAGGTTTGTCAAACAATTTCAAACATAAGTTCTAAATGTAAATTTACCTTGCATCACAAAATAAAAAGTCGGATCTCTCCCCAGAAAAATATATTACTGCAAACATCAATCCCCAACAATAATATTTTCTTATTCCATAGATCACAAATCAGAAAAAATGTTGGTAAAAAACTGTACTCTCAGCCAGGCATGGTGGCACACATTACAAACCCAGCTATTCAGGAGGCTGAGGCAGGAGACTCACAAGTTCAAGACTAGCCTGGGAAACAGAAAGACCCTGTTTCAAAAAGAAAAAAGGGCTGGAGTTACAGCTCCGTGGCAGAATGACTCTGAATTTAATTTCTAGTACAAAAAACCCAAAAAAAACCCTAGATACCTACAGTGTTGCCAAGTCCAGCCTACACAGCAGATTGTAAAATAAAACAGCAGGATTGGAAAATAAAATCCAGACATGAGGAGTCAAAACAAGCCACCAATCACAATTAGCTTACAACTAATTATCTTAGAGAATATAAATGTAACTAGCAAAATATAAAGCCAAGGGTTCATCATACACACACACACACACACACACACACGATACATGCAAAGGATGGGGCAACAATCATGCAGAGGAAGCCATGCGTTTCCTAGCAGTCTACTGACCCCCTTAGGTACTTGCCTCAATGTATACACCTCTATTTCCTAACAAGTTTTAAGCAACCTATGTGAGTGGTTTATTTTAGTCATTATAAATGATCTAGCATGACCAGATACTTATTACAGACACAATATAAGCAACTGTTTAATATATGCTATTAGAAGAGACAGTGCTGTCACTAGCACACATCACAACCTAGAGACCAAAGCACAGAGAATTCATTTCACTAGCATCTGACAAAGCAACTAACACTTTTTACTAAATGTATTATCCAGAAAATAAAGACAGGAAAAGATAGTGCATACTCATTAGGTAAGTAGCATTCATCAAATGCTTTTCTTGTCTGTTCAGTTTTTTGAGGGTCCCACTTTGTAATTCAGCCTGGCTTCAAACTTCCAGCAATCCTGCCTCAGCCTCCTGAGCACTGGGATTACAAGCATGCAACATCACACTAGGTTTTCCAAATGCTTTTTAGTTTGAATTTAACACTTCTAGATATAATAAACTAAAGATATCATACCATAACTCTTGAAAAGTTCAGGTTGTTTGAGAGGCAATTCTATCATTTCTCTAATTGCTTTCAACTGACTGTTTAAGCCTCCTATCATATCATAAGTTACTTTGAATTGGTTTTCTTGTCCTTTTGAATTTATATGAATCTTTCTAAGATTGATTCTTGTTGTTGAAGAAATAAAATAAAAAGTGTCAGTATTACACTTTGCTCCTGTTTTGGCAGATTTTAGCAATCTCTCATCAACAATTAGTTGCTTATTTCCTTCTCTGGCAGACTCAAGATTACATGTAAGAGCTGTGACTTTCTCTAGCTGAAGTCCACTGCCAGCCACAGGGCTCTGTGTAACATCCAACAAAATGTCACTGGCTTTATTCGTAATTCTGTCATCAACAGGTTTACAAGGAGTACTTCTTGATGCTGGACTCTGGGGCTCTTCCAGATCTAAATGGCTTAGCTGGAAGGATATATCCAAGCTACTGGTTTCTGTGCTGGACTGTTCAGAGGCCATTCCCTGAGCAGTATTAGAGTCACTCTGAGGCCTTCCCAGTATCATGCCATCTGCTCCTTTCACTTGCAACACTTGTAATTTGCATAGTCGTCCATAGAAGGTACAATACAGAAAGTTGCCTGGTAAAACAATCTTGCCATCTAGAAAAGAATTTATTAAAAATACATGTTAGCACAATTTTTATCAGTTTAATATTTTAATAGCAACTTCCTTGCTATTAACAAAACTATCTGACTGAAGAGATTAAATCAAAGCTGGAATACTGATAAAGTAACTCTCATGAAAAATATAGGACCTAATATTCTCCTACAGTATAGCAATAGATGGAGATACAAAAGGTGTTCTTTCAAATCTTCTACACTCAATATATTTTACAGTCTCTCAACTATATTAACAGATAGCCAGAACTCCACATTTGCCAAGAAGCTAAACTAAATAGCACACCCAAACCAACATACCAACATAATGTTTCTTACTGGAAAAAGCAAAAGTGCAATGGTTAAAAGAGTTCCATTACTGACTTTGTCCAAAGACAAGTGATATATAATCTCTTCACTACTCCACTGTTAGTCATTTTACTGGGAACTTTTTCAGAAGAATATGAATTCATTAAGAGGAATAGTCGCTTGCCTATTTTGAAGACAATTATTATGGTTATAACTCCTCAAAGACATTTTATTTGGTGCTATTTTTCTGCCTAAAATTTATGGACTTAGAATATGACTCTCACCTAGTTTTCTCAGAATACAAGAAGTCAGTTCTTCTTCATTAATTTCCCGATCTTTGTCACTATACAAAGAGAAAAAGAAAGATAAAAAATCATCATTAAGTACATAAGAAATTAAACTGTGATATGAAATGACATGTACAGTGATACCTGGGTTCAGGAACTTAATTTTTCCCATGATTCTGGTTGCAAACTGAATTGGACAAAAACTGAATCAAATTCGGTGGTTAGGCTCAATGTTGACCTTATGGGAAATTTGATTTGATTCTTTTCCAATTTGGTGTGTGACCAGAATTGTGGAAAGAATTAAGTTCATGAAACCAGGTATCACTGTACATCATCATAATACAGATTCATTAAAAAAAAAGGTCTGCAATCTGAAAATAGTTGATTTACACAATTTTGGAATGACTTACACTTTTCAGATACTTGTGAAAGCCACAAATGTATCACTGGCAATTTGGTACCTCAGTGACCTAAATCATTGGGTAATGAAATCATTACCTTTACAGGATCATGAAATCATTTCAGTCTCATTCAGCACTTTTTTTATTAGAGTAAGAAATGTCAGAGTACACTGCACATTGAAAAGGTTAAGTATGGCTTTATAAAACATTTAACTTATCACACATATCTATGTCCATGCATAGGGGTATATACAATCACACACATATCAATGTACACGTGTATATAGGAATGCATAATGTACATATGTACTGTATCTGTGGATATATACAAATCATAATTATGAGTGAGGGTGTGGATGTATTAGTCAAATACATCTAAAAACACACTGCCTAATCACTCCCTTCCTAAACTTGTCTTACTCAGAGAAAGGCTTTTATCACAGCTGACTTTATTCCTTTCATATAATCTATCTCTTCAAGAAAATAAAATCCTATATACTGTTACCTGGAAAAGTAGAAGTAAGAAAGGCTGCAATGAAAATATATTCTGGAAAACAGGGAAAGCTGAGAAAAAACAGACCCCTTTCTTTCTATTGCAAACTGTGTCTTCCAGGGCAGCTGTTTACTCAAGTAAGCAAAGTAGGTATACCTAAACATCACTGCACTTTTTTTTTTTGGTACCAGGGATCAAACTCGGATCCTTGTGCTTGCGCAGCAGACGGCAAAATCACTGCACTTCTTAAGAAGCCTGCTCCTTTTTTCAAAACATGAGCATTTTTCTTCCTCCTGCCTGTGTATACAGCACAAGAGGCCAACAGTTGTCCAGCTCTGCAGGTAACCAGTGGCAGATAAGAGGAGGCTCATTAGCAAGCATACCTGGTCAAAATCTATGCCTTGTTCTCTAATCACTTTACCGATATTAAAACAATCCAGTCTATCCTCATGATTTTTGGATGCTATACTGCAAATTCACCTACTCATTAAATTTATTTGTACTCCAAAAATCAATACTTGCAGTGCTTGCAGTGATTATTGGATATGTCAGAGAAGCAAAAAATTTGGGTCATGCAACACCAAATGCTGTCAGGTGAGACAGAATAAGGTGACAATGCTTTGTCAGCTCTCATTCAACGATGACTAGGACACAGAGACAGGAGGTGGCAGTGTGGTGCACTCCAAGAAGCTCTCAAGCTAGTTAGAGAGATCTGAATCCCATCTGTGGCACCTGTGGGGCTGACTCAGCCAAGTCCCTTTACACTTTTGATCTTCCTCTTCTCTTCTGTAACAAATAGTCTTACCAGAACAAATGCTTTTTGTTTGGCTGGTTGGCACTAAGGATTGAACCCAGAGTCTCACACATACTAAGCAAACACTCTATGATTGAGCTACATTCCCAGACCTTTTATAAAAAATCCTATTTTGAGATAGGCTCCTGCCAAGTTGCCCAGTTGGCCTAGAATCTGCAATCTTCCAGAGTAGCTGAGATTATAGGTACAAATACCACACCTAGCCAGAATGGATGTCTTAAGGATTTAAGATTACATTTTGTGTAAAATCTGTGCATATATATATACATACTGCCTCCCCAATATTGGTTCAGTATTTGCCAAGTGTTCAAGATAACTTTTTAAAATAGAAAACTTGATTTATTTATGCTATTACAAAGATAAAGCAAGTATCTTTGCAAGTACTTTGAGGACTTCATCCCAGTTCCCTTGTTGTTATGGAAAACTAAACTAAAAGGGTGGAAATTAAAGGATACAACCTAAGAGGCTGTAACAGAGAAAACTGGGATATGTATAAGAATAGCAAAAGAACTCAATCAGTTTCTCATTTAGTAAAATGGGTACATAAAAAGTTATCTCCCCTAGAAGGAGCTCCAACATTATTAATAGAATTTCTCCGTTGTTGCAAAAGATTAAATTACTGATTTTTCTAATACAAAATTAACTTCATCCACACTCTGCTACTACATTTAAAACATAAGATTTGTAAGTAAGATTTTAAAAAGCAAGATCCAAATGAAAATATACAGTCCTCTGTAATAGGCAATCATTATTCACCTAAGACTGAAATATTAGGCTGGTTACTTCCCATCATTGAACTCACTGAACATATTTCATCTATAAAAATGGGACAAATACCATTACCTTGCAGGGTGTTAAAGGATTAAACGGGAGTAGACAAAGGGTAAATGTATGTCTGTGCTCATTCACAAATGCACATGTGCATCCAATATGCAATATATACAACATAAACTGCCTTCTCTTTTCTTCTCTGCTTTTTAATGTTCATTATACATTGTTATGATCTATAGCTAGATATCCTCCCAGAGCCTCATAAGCCTAAAGGTAGGGCTTTAGTAAGACTATTGGATTATGGGGCCAGTGATGCTGACTTGGTGTCAGGAGGTGAGGTCTGGTTGGAAGAGGCAGATCACTCTGTGACCAGGAAAGGCACATCTCTCTTCCCAGCTCCTCCTTTGACCTCTCTGCTTCCTAGATGCCATGAGGTGAGCAGCTCTCTTCCACCCAGGCATGCCACTATTCCCTTCTGCCATTATGGCCAGCAGAGTATTGTCTAAAACCTCTGTGAACTGTGACAAAAAAAATAAACCTCTCCTCCTATAAGCGCTGAGTGATGGGCATTGTGTCTCGGTGACAAGAACAGTAAAATATATTGTTTTTAAAAGAAATAAGTGTCGAAATTCAAGCTTGGAATCTAAAAAAGTAAAAAAGAGAAGAAAACATTTTAAACCTCAAGCTGATGATTAGAAAATGTTTTGTGATTCTTGCATATAATGTGAACACATTCCCAAGTTATCATTAAGGTGATATTAAGTATTCAAAGGGTGGTTTTGTAAAATGAATTTTTTTTTTTTTTTTTTTTGGTGCCAGGGATCGAACTCGGGTCCTTGCGCTTGCACAGCAGGCGGTGAAACCACTGAGCTAAATCCCCGGCCCTATAAAATGAATTTTGGTCAGACACATTTTGCAAACTAAGTCAGAATTCTGCTCAAGAAGATCTAAAAGTACAGATGATACACCTTATTAATAGGTTCAAACAAACAGTCTTTGGTGAAGGACTATTTAAAACTCTGATAATAATAAACTTTTTTTTAGTAAGTTGAATAATGAGTTGAAATCTGCAAGTAGCTTCTTTAACAGTCTTTCTTATCTATTCATAATGAGCTACTCCTGTCTTTATAAGAAAGATAAAAAGCCCTGAATATACTGCAAGCCAAAATGAAAATCACTGCTAATTATTCATTAATAAGAATAATAATTCTCACCTAATATGCCAAGGCATACTCTAATTACAGGACCCTAGAGAGTCCTTAGTCCATAAATTATACAGTACTCATCTAGCTTGTAGTGTCATATAGTAGGCCAACAGCCACTCACCACATGTGGCTATCAAGAACTTATAGTATGACTAACCTGAGATATGCTACAAGTGTAACACACACAATGGATTCTGAAGACTTAGTTTCAACAGAATGTGAAATATCTTATTAGAAAGTTTTTTTATAATCATTATAAAGTAAGATTTTATATACTGGCTATATAAAATACACTATTATAACTCACTTAACCTGCTCACTATTTTTTTTTTTTTTTTTTGGTACCAGGGATCGAACTCGGAACCTTGCGAGGCAGGCGGCAGAACCACTGAGCTAAATCCCCAGCCCTTAACCTGCTCACTATTTAAAGTAGCTATTAGGAAATGCAAAATACAAAGCATTTTTGCATTTTACATATGTGGCTTATGTTTGTGGCTCTCTTTGTATTTCTATTGGGTAGCACTGACCAGACAGTCACCAAAGAAAAGAGCCAAACCTCAGTGCCAAGTCCATTTTCTGAGCCTGTAGCACAGCACCCACAAGAGGCTGCACCTGGATGGCATCACCAGCCCTCACACCAACATTCTTCTGTGCCATCTCACTCAGGCCAACCTTGCCTCCAGGAAACCCTGCCACTGGCCAGGCTGTATAAACCTGCCCAGACAGAGGAAATAAAAATGTTAGAAAATATTTTTTTTGGTATTAGTATATATTTGCAATAGATAATAATTATGTTCTTCTTGGGGAACTGGTACCTCCCCATCAACACTCATAGAACACCTCAATTCATAAACAATAAACACAGCTGAGCACATGAATATATAAGGCAGTCCTTACCTCAAAGCTGTTACAATCTGACACAAACTGCAGTGAACCAAACTACATTTAGAAAAAAATAAAATACTACATAAGCTCAAAAAAATAAATTATTTCAAAAAATTACATATTTTGTTGAAAATATGGAATGTGTACACATTGAAGATGGTGAAAGATTCAAAAGGTGGATTTGGAAAAGACAAAAGACATTAATAGATTATAAGAAAATAAAATATATATATATATACACACACACATACATACACACCTACACATATATACATACATACATGTGTGTGTGTGTGTATATATATATACACACACACATATGTATATATGTTGAAGGAAAGATAACTTATAAATTAATTCAGCCTGGAGCTTAAAACTACATCCAGGAAGTAGGGAGAGACAAAGCACAAGAGCTTTGTCAAAACCTGCATCTCGGCCGGGAATTTAGCTCAGTGGTTCCACCGCCTGCGTCACAAACCCAAGGACCCAAGTTTGATCCCTGGTACCAAAAAAAACCCTAGATCTCATCAGATTTAAATGCTTAGGAAGAGGAACAAAGACCTCTGTCTTGAGCTCACACATTTAGTCCTCTCTTCCACAAGACAAAGTATAACACAGGCCCAATGAAAAGAATGGGTAGGGTGTCATCAGCAAACAAGCAATTTTAAAAACATTTCCAAAAGACACCCTGTGGATGAAAGAACCAAAAGAAGAAACTATGGGATAGAGGCTAGTAGCAGGGAAGAAGGACAAGCTACTGAAAATCCAGGAAAGTTTCTGGCATGGAGACTCAGGTACAATAAATGGCAACTAGAGAAACACCACTTAAAATAGGGAGAGTTGGGCCGGGGATTTAGCTCAGTGGTTCTGCTGCCTGCCCCGCAAGCACAAGGACCTGAGTTCAATCCCCGGTACCAAAAAGAAAGGAGAGTAATGAAATAACTTGCATAAAGAACTAGTTCCTTTACATTCTGCACAGAAATATGGAGGACTAGGAGAAACAGAGCCCAAAAGGTATGTGTCATTCCCTCCCAGGAGAAAAGGTCTTTCTCTATAGGTGTTACTATTCTTAGCAGAGCAGTAGGCATCAAAAGTTGGGAAAGTCTATGCGATTGTGAATGTTTTAAATTCATTTCATTTAATCCTCCTTTTACTGATCGAATCATATCAGATATTTCTAAACTAAGAAAATGAAAAGGATTCTTACCTCTTGCTTTCCGTTCAAGCTGGTAAGCAGCACTGGTCGACCTATACATATATTTGCAGACTTCATAGTGTTGAGTCCAAGATGAACAAGGGAATTCTGGAATGTTTTAGGAACTTTGGCGTCTACTATGAAGGAAGAGAAAGTTAATTTTGTACTATTTTGTAAATGAAATTAAGACATGTTTTCTCTTGGACAAAATTAAAATCTTCTATCCATATAACCATATGAGTGTATTTCACATACCCTGGAGAAACCGCTGCTCCAACCCTGTTTGTAACAAATTTAAATCCAAACCCTTTTAAGTCTGTCTACTGACAAAATGACTGCTAACTAAGAAGCCTCTCATTTCATTAAGAACCAATCATACTTGCAATACAGTATCTCTGAGCTTTCTGTAGTACGGATTTTGAGTCAGGCACTTGTATTCAAAAGCTTCAATTAGGAACTGGCACACCTATCTGGCTGCTCGCAGGGATGGTGAACCTTTGGCACACATGCTGCAGTGGGCTGTTTGTATCACTGAAAACTCCAAAAGATTGGCCATCACTGCTCTAGAGAGTTCGACATCACTGCTCCTCTTGTGACCTATTTGCTCCAGGACTTAAAAACCACAGCCTTCCCTAATTACCTCCACACCTCCCTAACAATGGAGATCATGTTCAAACTCCCATTCACTGGCCTCCTTTTCCAGTATATCACCATTGAATTCTCTGCTTACATCATCCAAAGCTACGCAAGCTATCCAAAAAATTCCCTTCTCTAATTATCATTCCTCCAGTACTTTGAAAATATTTCAACATCCACTTTCTCCATTAGCTACCTTCACATTTATTAAGCACCTTATTAGATCAACCTTAAAGATAATTTCAAACAACCACCTGCTCTTCATTTATTCACTCAGGAAATATGTATTATGTGCCTACTATACTGCAAGCACTGTAATAGGCAATTTTGTTCACATATCCTTAGCCTCATGGACTTTATAATCTAGCAAGATTAGAGAATTATCCAACTATCACTGAATAACTGTAATTTCAAACTAAGATGAAAGAATAAGAATGCTAGCAGAATCTATGTGAGACCTGGGCTAATTTGGAAGAATCAGAAAATGTTTTTCAAAGGAAGTAATGTTAAACTTCAGATCTAAAGGAAGAGTAGGAAATAATAAATGAAGAAAAGAAAAATAGTAAGCAAAGACAAGAAAAAAATAATTTTCAGCAAAGAGAATAGCATGTATAGATATCCTGGGCAGACAGCAGTATGGTGCATCCTCCAGAGAACAGGCAGCAATGCAAAATGAATCGTTGTGGAAGAAAGTCAAAACCATTAGGGCTGTGGACTATATCAAAATGCTGGCCATTACCCTGACAGCAATGAGAATGCATTGGGGGTAAAAACCAGTGTCATGACAGGATCATTTTAAAATATCATTCTAACTGCAAAGTGGAAAAGAAATAAGAAAAGGAGCAAATTGGAAGCAGGAATATCAGTTTAAAAGGCTAATGTAGCAGGCTATGGGAGATATGATGGTGTCTGAGGCTGAGGTGGAAACAACAGAAATGTTGTGAAGAGGAATATGGAAAAAATTTAAGCGATTAACAGGACTCAGTACTAGAGTGGATATATATGAGAAATAAGAGTGGAGTGGATGACAGCTAAGTTTCTGAACTGTGTAAAAGCAAAATGAATAGAGCTAGAATTTGATTTATTGGAGGGAATTCAGGTTCATGGAGTCAGTCTTGAAGTACTTTTGAGAAATCCAAGAGACAAGGTATTGAACAATACTATTCAGAAAATGGTCCACAAAATATGTTATTGGCTCAAATAAGATAAAGTACAAAAACTGAAAAGCATTTAGAGGATTTCACTGCTATTTGACAAAATAATTTTACATTTGGGGAATCCAGTAATTTTCATTTTGCTTTTATTTTTCTGGTATTGTATTTTTATTTTATTTTGCAGAAACACTGATCTGTGCTTGTAAATTCTAAAACCTTCACCACAGAGTTGGGAGAATCACTGGTCCAAAAGACAACTGCATCAAGGTTCAAGAACAGTGTGAGCTACAAAAATAAATCTGAAAATGAAGAGGATATAGATGGGAAACTCTCGGCATTTAATGAATTTGACAAAGAAAAAAGATTTAGAGAGAGAAAAACAGGATTTAGGACTAAGGATTGAAAAATTTCAACACTGAATGGTCAGGTGGAAGAAGATAAGGCTACAAAGGAAACAATGTTCAACAAGCCTGGCAAACAACTAGGAAAGTCTGATGACACATAAAACAAGAAGTGAAGTGTTTCAAAGAAGTGACTGACAAGTGAGGCAGGGTGGCCCTCACCTGCAATCCCAATGATCTGGGATGTTGTGGTAGGAGAACCCAAGTTCAAGCCCAGCCTGAGCAACTTAGTGATTTTTAGGGATACCCTGTTTCAAAATAAAAACTGTTGAGAATATTGTTTAGGTAGAAGCCTTGGGTTCAATCCCTAGCACCAAAAAATAACAATAATGATGAAAAAGAAATGGTAGACAACGTGAAACACTGCTGAGGGTAAGTAAGGCAAATAATGATCAGTGACTATGAGAGGATAGTTTCCATGGAATGAAGAGAAAGTCTAATGTCAGGACTCAAATATGGTCTCTGACTCTTAGCATCACCTGGGGCATGTCATTCACTTCTCTGAGTCTGTAAAATGGACAGAACTGGTCCAGAGCGCAGCAGTGCACTCTTGTAAGCCCTACTACTTGGGAGGCACAGCAATGAGGATGTAAAGTTCAAGGATAGCCTGGGCAACTTGGTGAGTCCGTTCCAAAGGACTGGGGATGTGACCCAGTGATAGAGCACGACTGGGTTTGATCCCCAGGACCACAGAGACATAAACTAAAAAGATCTACAACTATACAGTACCCGCAGGTCACAGCTTCTGTGAAAACTAAATGAAAGATGGCTGTGACACAGCTAAGCTATAACACTAGTGTACAATTAATAATAGCCTTATTAATTCACAGAACCTGTGCAATCGCGGAAGAAATAAAAGCATTTTTTTCACTATTAAAAGCATAATGATGTCTCTCACGAAGAACGGATTCACATTTTTATAGCAGTTTTTTATTCAACATATCCTAAACTCGTTAGGTATGAACGATTTTGCACAGGCAGCTGTGGTATTCATCCCAAATGAGGCAAACCTCATTTTAAGTGCAACTTAACAATTTTTTAAAAAATCTTTTAAAAAAGAAAACTTGCCAAAACCATTTCTGCCTAACTTTCCCAATGGAGGAGAAGCTACATTTACAGACGTCTTAAAAAAAAAAAAAAAAA